AACATATCTAAGCACAGAAAAGGTACAGTAAAAATACAGTATAAAAGACAAAAAATGAAATGGTACACTTGTATAGAGCTCTATAGATGAGTAGTGAGCAGTAAATGAATATGAAATCCTACGGCATTACTGTCCAGGCCACACTACTATAGACTTTATAAACACTGTACACTTAGACAACACTAAATTTATTAAAAAATAATGTTCTTTCTTCAACAATAATTTAGCCTTAGCTTACCGTAACATTTTTACTTTATAAACTTTACTTTTTTAACTTGACTCCCTTGTAACAATGCTTAGTTTTAAAAAATCATGTTACACTCCTATTCAAAAATATTTTATTTCTTTATATCCTTATTCTACAAACTTTTTTCTATTACAGTTTTTTTTTTATTTTTTAAACTTTTTGTAAAAAACAGATACAAACACATATATTAGCCTAGCTCTACACAGGGTCATGATCATTAATATCACTGTCTTCTGCCTCCATGTCCTGTCCAATTGGAAGGTCTTCAGGGGCAATAATATACACAGAATTGTCATCTCCTATGACAACAATGCCATCTTCTGGAATACTTCCTAAAGGACCTGCCTGAGGTTGTTTTACTGTTAACTGTTTTTTATATATAAGAAGAGTAAGGTCCAAAATAATGATAAAAAAATATGGCAAATACATAAACTAGTAACAGAGTTGCTTGTGATCATTATCAGGTATTATGTACTATATGCAATTGTATGTGCTATACTTTTACATGCCTGGCAGTACAGTAGGTTTATAGCATCACCACAAACATGTGAGTAATGACTGTGATGCTATATCACCAACCAGGCAATAGGAATTTTTTAGTTCCATTATAATATTAGGGGATCATTGTCATATATTCAGGTATATGTTTACCAGAATATCATTATGTATGTCATAGCTGTTAAATAATTAAATGTTAAATAATTTTTGATAAAAGTACCAAGGTAATTCAATGAAGAAAGGATGAATAGTGTATACAAAAAAATTAACTTCAACCTGTACTATATATGTATGTTAACTCAAAATGAAACACTGATCTGAATAAATAGTAAGTAAAAACCATGAAACTTCCAAAAAGAAAACAGTAGAGAAATTACTTGTGACCCTGAGTTGGGCAAGTATCTCTTAGATAGAAAAAGCATGAGCCATGCAACAGTCCAATTTTTTAAATGAACAACACATTTACATATATATTACTTCATAAAATATCTGCTTTTATCATTGGTCATTAGCAAAAGGTAAGTTAACACTACAAACCCACAGAAACCACTACACAAAGCTAGAATGGCTAAAATTTAAGAAGACTAACAATAGCAAGCATTGGCAAGGATGTGGAACAACTGCAACTTATCAAATGCTATTGGGAATACAATATGGTACAGGAAATTTAGAAAATAGTTTGGCAGATTTATCCAAATTTAAAATTTATTCTGCTCATCAAATGACACTGTCAAGGAAATGAAATGGCAAACCATAGACTGGAGGAAATATTCTAAATAATACTGTACCTAACAAAGTAATCAGACAGAAAATATAAAGAATTTCCACAAAACAATAATAAAAAGACAAATAATCCAATAAGAAATGGGCTAAGGATTTAAACAAATAGTGAAGATTGACTAAAAAGTGGCATAGGAGAATCTTTTAGTGATAGAAATGTTCTGTGCTGACTAAAGTAATGGGTGCCTTAGTGTATAAACTTGTAAGAACATAAATTTGTATACACATGTCTATGTATTTCATTATATATAAATTTTACTTCAGTTTTAGAAAACTAAAAAATAATATTTTAAAGCTATATATTATGGCATTGGTTTACATTTTTTTAAAAAAATCCACCTACATTTAGGCCTACAATACTCAAGTTTCATACTGACCCCATCCTGGCATATGAAACTTCTTTGTAAGTTATAAAGTACTGCTATAGACTGAATGTTTGTATACTCCCAAAATTCATATGTTGAAACCCTAATTCCCAACGTGATAGTATCTGGAGGTGGGACTTTAAAAAGGTAATCAGGATTGGATTAGTGCATGAGTGTGGAGCTCCCATGATGGATTAATACCTTTATAGAAAGAGGAAGACATGAGATCTAAGAACACAATTCAGAATAGGGCCCTCACCAAAAACCTGACCATGGAAGAAACCCGATCTCAGACTTCCTGCCTCTAGACCTATGAGAAATAAACGTTTGTTGTTTAAACCACCCAGTCTGTGGTAATTTGCTGTAGCAGCCCAAACTGACTAAGATAATTACTAAAACCACTTCAACAAAATAATTCTTTTTAAAAAGAATTCTCATTTTATATCCTAAAATCACTTCTTGTGGGTTTCAAGAAGTACATCTTTTTTCTAGTGATACTAGGGTTTAATGGAAAATTCAGTATTTATCCTATCCATATTTGTTACTAGACTCTTAAAATCCCATATTAGTCTCTCAGTGTTTTCTGATGGCAAGTTTTCTCAATTCTTTAATAAAATGAGGTATTCTTTTTCATACAACTTACTAACTTTTTCATTTTTGTATATGATATTCTAGTGATTAATGGCCCTTAGAGTATTTTCAATACCTTTCCATAAGGATCAGCCATTTAATTACTGACCTTTGTAGCTATAAGAATTCATTTGGCTAATGTCTTTAAAAGTGTTCTAAATCTTTCATTTGTTCATAAATGTCAACTTTACATCAATGGAAAATGACACGCCAATCCCAACCTGTCTGCCCTTGCTAAGGCCAACGTGCTGTTGATCCTCAGTTATCTGCTGTCTCCTCTCAGTACACATCATCATCAATTCCTGACCATAGAAAGTGAGTTTCTACCTTCCAGTTGCTGGTATACTTGCCTTCTCTAGTCTCACTTCCCAGATATCATACCTTGACTGATTTCCAAATGCCAGATTCCATAGATTACCAGAGATTGCTGCCCCCTGAACTGACTTCCAGGTTTACACATATTGACACACTTACATTCCTTGACTATTGATCTAATACCAGAATAGATCTCTTGCACTGTACTTTCCTCAGCCTAGTGGTCCAAGTTCTCCAAAGTCTGTCAGTTACAGCATCAATAACTGACAGGAGTCTTGAAAGAATAAAAACTGGCTTCTATCTTTTAAAATGTCTTATCTAATATATCTTTAATGAAGCCCATAGAATTTTAATCCAGTGTGATGAGTAAAAATAGATCAAAGTCTATGTTAAAATGAAAGACAATAATGAGGAAAGAAGGAAGAGTCAGACAGAAATCAAGAGCCACAGAGATGGGTGAGGGGAGAAATAAAAGAGTCAATGAGGCAAAGAAAGTAATGTAAAAGATAGAAACAAAGAGAGAAATAGAGAATAAAAAATGAAGAGCTAACAGTGGTAGACAGATCTTTAAAAATCAAGACATGAACAAGATGGAGAGAGAGAGAAAATCAGAGGAAGAGAGATGAGGGGAGCCACAGAAAGATCAGCGGTCCTCACACAGAGAAGGGAAGAAAGAGAAGTCAGTCTTCCTTGTCTCCCCTCCCACTCTTCTCCATCCAGCCTGAAAAAAATGAAATAAAATAAAAAACATATCACCCAAACTCCAAATATGAGTCATATTCACTTTGCTGTAGTGGAAATGAGTGACCAGGGATTTCAGTTTCAATGAGTGCACAAAGATGAAAACAATGAAACACACACACACACACACACACACACACACTAATGCCTATCTGGCCTGCTCTCTACACCTTATCTTAAGCTGCTCTCTCTGCCTGCTCTTACACCTTATCTTAAGCTGGTTCTAGAATTATCTACACTGTACAGAAGAAACTGAACCTCTTAAGAAAGGGTTCTGAACCAGAGAGAGGAACCTGGTCAGCTGCATGTCTTCTTCCCTCCTTTCAAGTCTCAAAGGACATTCTCTGAGGTGTACTAGGACACCTTCCCCCTGTCCTTGTTCAGAATACTTTTTACTCTTTCTTAGAAAATGCCCCATCCTTCAAATTCTCACCCCAACTTATTCAGGGACAGAGTCTTGTCCACCTCTGCACTTTGGGCAGACAGGATAGGGCCTGGTACACAAAAGTTATCAATAAGCAAATCAGTGCATCCTGGTCCTAGACACATATGTATAAAAACACATACATACACTACACACATGTTTACTATTCAGAGACACATGAACTTTTATAAAGAAATTTGTTCTTAGTACTAACAAAAATGTTCTCCTCATAAATTTCCTTTGAATCTATTCTTGCTCCAGTGTTCTCGGCCTTATCATCCAAACTATTCACACCAGCTGAAAACACTTTCACCTAATGGTAAGTTCTGTTGATCTTATCTTCTAAATGTATCCTATTTCATCTCCATGGCAAAAGAAAAATCAAACCTTCTTGAATGGGTCTCCCCAAACTTTTCCATCTGCCATATTGTTGCCAGGAACCTTTCCTATCGAGTCACATTTTTCATGAGACATCTTCAGTGGAAATCTATAAAGAAATAGCTTCCCGTTTCTTTCATAATTGACACTGAACTCCCTATTTTGGTATTGAGAATTTTCCCAGTTACACCCTAACTCACCTTCTTAAAATCATTTCCTATCCCCCTCTCTCTCCATCTCTAACTACATCAAATCTCTCATCAATCCCCAAACACTTCTGCTTTTCCCCTCTAGTGGGCCTTTATCTATGAACACTCACATTTCCTTTCCCTCCCTTTCTTCACATCTAGATCTTTGAAAATTCAGCTCAAACTGCATCTCATTCCTCAATATGATCACTGACCCCAGGGAGGGTTTGTCATTTGTATCTCTCGATTTCCAATGCACTTGAAATATATGTGTTACTGCTCAAATCATAACATATGATAATTATTTAAGTATCTTTCTTCCCCAATACAATGTGAGTTGTACAAATATAGACTGTCTCATTGACTTTTTAAGGTATTCAAGGGCTTAACACAGAACCTTGCCCAATAAATATGTGAAGAATAAACAAACATACCTTTCTGTGCTTTAATTAGTTGCTTTCCAATTTCTAGTGTCACAAAGGCTGTGCCATTTAGAACTATGTCAGTTATGGTCTTCCAAGCATTAGCAGAGAGTCTTTCAGTGGGAGAAATAAAATTCCCTGCTGCATTATTTATCACGATCTAATAAATGAATAAAGCAAGTTATAGAAACTTTTAGATGAGAAAAGATATTTTCCCTCTAGAACTTTTATTTCCAAAATTTATAAATAAAAAAATACAATAAAAGTATAATAGTCAGCCTCAAAACAATACCATGAGATTTGGCTCCATTTTACGTACTTTGAGTCTGAGGAAAATCTCCTATGTTATTTACCAAATTTCAGAATCGTAACCCCTTTCTTTAAATTAGGGTAGACTCCATTATTAAGAAAATTAATATGGGTTATGCATATTTACCATGTGTCTACACTTTATTTCAAGGAATAGCAGGAAATGCCTTTTAATTTCTGGTGTCATTTTAGTTTAACTTACCCAACGAAACTCTGGTTGGTGACCTGTTTCTTCAGTAAAGACTCTGCTTAGTTCTACAGCAGAGTTAATATTATTGGTCTCTCTGAAAATATGTTTAATATAGAAAAGTGCTTTCTTTAAGACTACTGGAAGAAATGGCTTCTCTCCAATAAATGAACCAAACAACAGCAAAATATCGATGCATACCAGTTCTTAAAAGGAGAAATTTAGAATTTCTTGTAGTTTTTTTTTTTGTTTGTATTGTTCCCCTTCACCGAGAAAGATAATCAAAAGTTATTAAGAAAAGCAAAGAGCATGAATCATTTAAACTAGATGTTGTGCTCTTGGATAACTGCTCTTGTTATTTCATAATCTTATTAAATAAAGTGAAACCAAATTTGTTCAATAATTGATCAAAATGTATTCTTTAAGTATTCCTGAAAGAAAGCAGTGTAGCCACCCTTGTAATCTGTTCCTTGCTTTAAGCAGAGTTGGCATTTTCCTAGAGACAGAAAAGAGGTGCTTCTCAACACAGCCCTTACTCATATTTTAATTTCTGTGTGCATCTTGGTAGGTATTATGGACATCAAATGCCTAAGACTCTGGCTTCATCACCATTACACTTACATCAGGATGTCCTGCGACTTTGATCAGTTCTGACACAGTGTTTTGAACCATAGCAGGATCCCTCACATCACACTGAATTGCATGAACCTGCAAAATAACAAATATAGAAAGGAATATAACATTTTCTAGATTTCCTAAACCAAAAATATGAGCAAATTATTTAAATATGTTACAATTCCTAAATCTAAATTAAGTGACTCCTTTTTAATGTACCTTATTTCCAGTTTGAGAAGAAATTTCTTCTGCAGTAACTTTCAAAACATCAATCTTCCTAGAAATAAGCACATGGTGCTTTGCATGAGTTCTGAAATCACTTCATATTACGTTTTTTTTTTTTTAATTCCATAAGCTAAGGAACATAAAATCTACAGCTTAAAGAAAAGCATTTCTCAGGAGGTATGAAAGTTGGATTTACAAACAAATCAATTTTAATGAGTTCATTTTCTAAAAGTCAAATTGAAACAATTTGTGTGTGTGTGTGTGTGTGTGTGTGTGTGTGTGTGTGTGTGTGTGTATTTTTTATTTATTTTATTTTTTTTAAGTTGGAGTCTCACTTTGTCACCCAGACTGGAGTGCAGTGGCACGCTCCCGGCCACTGCAGCCTCGACCTGCTAGGCTCCG